CCAAAGCATACGACGTTCATGCTTGTGCCTGTGGAGGCTCTGAAATCTGATTATCCTTCTCTCTTCCTCTCGAAAAGCTTGGGTAACAGGAGTGCTGCCGATGCACATTTCACCGATATGTGTAATGAATCATGACAAGATGAATAAAAAGCCTCCTGGACCCATACCCCTAACCCAACAGGAAGTCAGCCATTTTTTGAGATTTGCAATGGTTGTATTTTAACAAAATCCTCCTGGAGAATTGATTCGACTCCAAATTTACTCAGTGCAATCTGAAGACCATCACGATTATAAGTTGTGGTCTTTGTGACTCTGAGTCGAAGGGCATGTCTGTGGCGTTTCGTCGAGTTTCAACGCTTCACCATGAAACAGGAAGTTCTCATTACTTCAGTGTACTACTGCTTCAATTACATATCGCGTTCATGCTGTTATATATTAAATACAGGTGTTATTACATTGTGAAGTGACATTTTGTCGAGTTATTACATAATGTGTTGTTCCAATACTTAAGTAAATATATACGATACAACCCAGGGGTGTGTGGTTTGGCCTAATGGAGCTTCCCTTCATGAACTACCTGAGACGTCGGCTTCTGTTGAGATTGCGTTGCTGAAATTGAGCTTGTCTTCTTTCTCCAACTCGATCTCTTCGTGGATGGTGTCCTCAGTCACTGCGTTCAGCCACAGCAGCAGGTCGGCAGAGAGGATCAACATCAGTCCGGACCTGCATGCAAATGTCAACAAGTACAGAAAAAACACACCTGAAGATACACATGACAATCATCCTTTATTAGGTATGAAATATATTCATAAAAAGTCAATGACGTGTGTAGAGTGATGCACCTGGTGATTATCTTGTGTCTGTGAACGCAGTCTTTAGAGTGAGCCCACAGTAAATACGTCTGCCGAAGAAAGATAAGCAGTTATTCAGTAAGGAAACTTATGAAGAATAACAGAGAGTCCTGAGAACAAAGCAGGAAGATTTTGAGTTTCCATTTATTCATATGTTTTTTTTTTTATTAATAATGCAATCTTTAATGCTGCAGACAAAACACTGAAATGAAGTGTGGAGGAGACATGCAAATAATAAGCTAAAGGTAATTTTTTGCATTTTTGGTTTGCATTCATTTGAGAACATAAGTGATTTGATATCTTATGAACTTTAAATATAACTCATAGTTTTAATAATTTAAGGTTTATTTAAGAGGTCTGTCCTTCATCTTGCACGTTTTTTATTGAAATCTGAGGCGGATTTAGGTTCATCAGGTCACATGATGACACCTGAGCCAATCCCGTTCACTGATGAAGACCATAGGATGCAGGTGAAAGCTGATAAATGGACCTTTTAAGTTAAGATTACATTGTGACACAGAGTTTAGTTTAAGAGCTGATTGGAGGTTTAGATCAGCACTGGGATTGTTGCAGTAACAAACTAGACACACTATAAATAAACTATTAATATACAAATATACAAAAAGTTTAGCATTCATTTTTAATTTCTGCTTTATAACTGTGCAACCAGTCAGGTTTAAATGGTTGCTGTTATATTAATAAAGATTTAATGATATGATAACACAAGTTATAGAGGCTGTTTTGCACAGATATGAACACAGGTGTGTCTTCCGATTGTGGAGTGCCCTTTGGTGCCACTGATAGATTATTGGAATTATTAATGGATGTTTGTTAGTGATCAGATAAAAACACTGTTTAATGGAATTCTGCATCTTCACTTTTGCTCTTTTATAAATGTGCTTTTTCTTTTTGTGAGACTATTTAAAGAAGTAACACGTTCCCTTATATGTAAATGCAAATTTGAATTCATAAGCAAACAAATGCTGCTCAACTCAATAAACACTGTAAAACTCAGATATCATATTTCTGTTTCTGTTTCCTCCTGGCCCTCACTTTAAAAGCTTTGTCCACTTAGAACTAATCAGTAACAACCTTTTAAGAATGAATCTATTAAAGGCTGTAACTTCACACGGTTTGAGTTTAAATGGTCCTTAACATCTTTCTTTCTCCTGGGTTTTACTGTTTTAAAGAGCACAGTCTACCTGCTGTATTTCTGTTCTGAGATAACTTCTGTTGAATTACCTGCAGCGTGAGAAAAGGAGCCTCGATGAAGGGAGAGATCACTTCAGCAGTAGACTTACACTCACTCATGCTGATCAAATAGCCGGTCCTGCAGATGGACAGCAGCAGACTGAACGCAGCAAAGAGCATGAGGACCACTGCACCGGAGCCGGAGAGAGAGAGGAAGCACGTCATTACCCCACAGACCAGCAGATATTATCTCACATATTACACTCATGATGCTCGTACAGGAGCTTACAGGTGACTGTGATTCCTCCGGCGTGGTGGTCCTGATGTGGACAGATGCCGGGCTGTTTCCTGGCCCACAGCAGGTACCACAGCATCCAAACCAAACTGAACCCCATCAGCAGCAGCATGAACACCTGGGGCTCCTGGTGCCTGAGGCCCTTGGGGTTGAAAGCCTCTCCAGCCACCAGGGCAGCTCCCAGGAGGATCACGTTCAGACCCAGCAGACCAGAGATCAGACGCCTCCCACTGGGAACCCAAACCACCACGGGATCCAGCTCCTGCTCATGAATCTGATGGTCTGAGCTCTTCACTGGGTCGTCTCCGGAGGGATTTCCAGGTGTCCCCGAGTGGGAATCCAGCTCTGTGGCTCCAGGATCTGGATTCATATTCAGCTTCTTTTTTTACTTTGTGCCTAGAAAGACTCTTTAGTTCCTTTCAGGGATTTTCTGAAAACTGAAATCCTGCTGCTCTACATGTGAAGGCATGAGTCTGAAAGCTGCCACTGATCCTAGACCCACCTTACAACACTGGTGCAGGTGTGGCCACATTAATAACGACACACCTTCGTAGGAAAAGCCGAAGGTGTCAGGTTTACCTTTCACACTGACCTTTTTCCCCCGTTCTGCCTCATGAACAATGTGTTTCTTCGTGGCACCAAATGCCCCAGCGCAGAGTCTCTGTCAGTCTCCAGCCCAGTTGGTCTCAACGTCAGTGGGGTTATTTTACTTTGAAAGAGTTTATCAGCCGGGCTCTGTGCCACGTCGTGTCACTGTTTGCGTACAGTCGACACCAGGAACTGATTTATAAATGCAACCTTATCACTGCTGTAGCAGCTAATGACTGATACTGATAAACCTGGGTTTCAGGCTTGAAATTAAAGTATCAGACAGGTGGTTTCTGCATGTTTGAGCCCATTACAAAAAAAAACAGCACAGATTTGCCTGACTTCCATTCATTTCTGTTAAAATTAGAAGACAGTTGTGTTCATGGTGCTGGAACTGAGCATGCTCCAAAACAATAGCAATAAAAAGATCCATGACCCCTAGTGGGGGTCCTGACCCCAGGTTGGCAACCACTGTCCTAAAAGGAGTCTCATGGGCATTTTTATAATATAACTAATCTTTCTACATGTGTCCGTTTACACCATCTGCCCGTATAGTGTGTCAGTTATTAAATGCTACCACAGATTAAATGCTGGTTATTTATGAATAAATGCCTTTTAAATGAATGTGTGACACTCAGGAGGAGGAGCATCTGTCCATTGTACTGTAACAGGGCAGGAAACTGAAGATCCGTCACACTCTGTGTGCACATACCTGGCCAATAAAGTATTATTCTACCTCAGCCCCAGCCTGTTCACCCTGCTGGAAGAAACTGCCCAAAGACCAGACTACAGCTTCCTCCTGCAGGCTGCGAGGCTGCTGAACTCTTCCACAACAATGCATTATGTAAACTGAGGTAACATAAAGGGAAGTACATCTAAATTTCATTCTACAACCTTGTTATGATTGACAATAAAATATCCTTGAAATACCACTATTCTGTTCAAAGGGGCTTTACCGGCATTAGAAACAGACGTTTACATTACCAAAGCACGTGTAAAATATATGTATATACTGATTAGTAAGAAGATACTACTACTACTAATAATAATAATAATAATAACTCAGAACAAAATAGAAAAAAATGAAAAGTAGTGTTGTAGTTAAAAAATATTGTGTGTATATTATATTGTGTATATATCTATATTACTACTATTAACTGTCTACAATATCTATACCATCATCTACTTCATCGCACTACATTAAAAAAAAAAGGTATACAGTCATAACAATCTAAAGAATTAATAAAACGAGCAGCATGGAGAAGAAAACAGCGAATCTGTCAAAATATAAGCATATTAAGTATTTATTAATGTTTTTAAAAATACATAATTCAGACAGAGAACTGTACAAAAAGTCCCTAAAAATATCAGGACAATTACATAAACCTCTATTACAATATGTATATAGTATTATGTATTGTTATTGTTGAATATAATATGAAATATCTTTAGATGCTTTAGATTTATATATCTATAAGGGGGCGTGGCTCTTCGCTCTTAGCCCCGCCCCCTTCCTGACAACCCGCACGCCTCGTGTTGGTCTCCTAGCAACCAGCCCTGCCAGCCCGCTCCGTGCCGCTCCAGGCCGACCGGAGACGCCGCGTCCCGGACTAAAAAGTCGCCTAAACACCGGGGCAGAACCTTCCAGAGCCTCCATGGAACCGGACTCAGAGTGAGCCCAGGGCGCCGCCATGAACGACCGGTACCACCGGGCGGCCCGGGACGGCTACCTGGACGTGCTGAAGGAGGCCACACGGAAGGAGCTGAACGCACCGGATGAGGATGGGATGACACCGACCTTATGGGCCGCGTACCACGGCAACCTGGAGGCGCTCCGGCTCATCGTGGGGCGAGGGTGAGTCCACAGGGACCAGGACCTGCAGCACCGGGTCCACTATACTGGGTTTCTTCCAGAATAATAATGTTACTGCTTATATCAGCACCTCTCAGAGGAGATTCATTTTATTGTCTTTTCTGTCAGTGTATTGATTCTTTTTTATTTTTGTATTATTATTTTGCCTTTTTTGTCAGTTTATTCAAGTGAGAGTTCATTGGAATTAAGAGAGTTTGTCCTAATTCAATCAGAAACCTCACTTATTTTAATAAGAGGGCTTTAAATATGAAACTTAAATCTCTATTATTAGTTAGAGTTGACAATTCTGTGAATATAAAGTTGTGTTTTAAGTGAAATTCATTGGAAATAAGTGGATTTGTCCTCCTTATATTAGAAACCTTACTTATTTTAATAAGAAAGCTTTAATTCTGAAACTGTTATCGCTATAATGAGTCAGAGTTGGTGAACATAAATTGGTTTTTTAAGCGAAAGTTCATTAAGAATAAGTGAATTTGACGAATTTCAATTAGAAACCTCATTTATTTGAATAACAAGGCTTTAAATATAAAACTATTACTACTACTACAAGCATATTCACCACCAAGCTGATCTGTGCCTCCCTCATATTAGCATGAATATAAAAGCATTGTGCCACATTATGTTCCTGTCCCCATCGCTGCATCCAATCAGCGCTGCAGGAGCCAATTAAACGGCCTCATTACAGAGAAAGGTCACTTGCTGCAGGATATCAAACATGTGAAACATAAACTTTACATTTAATCTCACAGATGTGGCTCAGGCTAATCCATTACATAGCACTTATCAGAGCAGGTATAATCTGATTCAGTCAGAATGCAGAAGCCATTTTTACTCAGATCAGTTACTGAAAGGTCAACCACGTCTATACAGAGTGAATTATATGAATGATATGATCTATGAAAGCCTCGTGCACGCTCACACAGAGAGCGTTTGCTGTGTGTTTCTAAGAGATAATTATAAAAGGGGTTTAGGAGTAAGTCTATATTCTGGTGATAAGTTGTACATAATGTATCAGAGATGTCTTTTGTTGGAGGTTTAGGAGACAGACAAAGCAGCCTTTCAGTGCAGTGTAACATTTACTGCAGGCTGCAGTATGTCAGGACGCCGGTGGCAGGTTTATAAGGCGAGCGGTGAAGTGGAGGGCAGTTGAGTTTGATGCTGCGGAGCGACTGCAGACGCAGGGAAAAGGTCACAGTGATGGATAGGGCGTCTTCCTCGTACGCCCGTCCCCGGAGGACGCGGCGCAGAGTGGATGTGAAGCAGAGAAAGACGACTAAAGCTGAGCTGCAGGTCAAAGTTCACCACGAAAGGTAAATGACAACCAGAGGAGAAGCTTTGAGACTTTTTCTCACTTTTTATTATTAGTGCTACAAAACCTTTTATTTTTTAATAAAAGAAGACAAACCAGTCAGTGTTAGGGTTTGTCCTTTCTGGATTTTTTTTAAAAAAAAAAAAAAATTTTTTTTTTTTTTTAAAATTTTTTTTTTTTTTTTTCCTCCCCCCCTAAGAAAAAAAAGATTATAAACAAAATTTATCACAATTCACAAAATATACTATATCCTTCATTAAAGTGAAGAAGAAGATTCTGTTTCTGTGTTCCTGAGCTGTTTCTTACATCAATAACCCCATCCCAAAGTTTCACATATCCTGTTTTCAGGGGAGCTCAGCACCCCGTGTAGTTCCCACCCTGAGAGCCACACTAGGCTAAAAACAGGGTGATATTCCAATAAATACCTCCCTGCCCGTCAGTTAGAAGCCTCTTGGCTGAGATGTGAAAGTATCTTTAACCAATCAGTTGCTCTGGACTCAACCCTCCTTGGACAACCATGACCTGCTGACTGAGTCTTCAGACAGTACTGGTTGGTTTCCGGGTCTCGCTGTGTGATCTGTACTGGATGGGAACTCGCACATTTCTATCCAGAGAGATTCGTCCGGCACCTGGAACTGAAGTTTGATACCGAGCCATACATGTTGCTAGTAAACAGTTTGAGGTTTGTGTGTTGTGAGTCAGAGCTGCTGGCAGAGCTGCAGACGGTCAAGTTACTATGTGAGATAGTTTGGTGTGATTCCTCCTCGGTGTTACTACAGTGATGCATTTCCCGCCTGTACCTCCTGCAATATGATCTGCTTAACTGCCCTTTTCAGTTGACAGGAAAAAGCAAAATATGATGCGCTGAACATAAAAATAAACCTCATGCTATTTGCTCTAATATCAAGTGTGATGTTTGTGCACTTTGCCAGGGTGTGGCACTGCAGACGGGAACCGAAATCAGGGCTCTGTGACCCTGCAATGTGTGGTAACACTGTCTCTGGGTGTCTGCAAAAAAAGACTCTTGGTGTGTGGGATAAATAATGCAACGTCACCTCTGTCATGTTAACTTGCAGCGCTTCAATTATTGATGAGGGCTCAGCCGCAGCGCCATGTGGGTGGAGAGGAAACAGGAAGAGGAGGGGCTTCAGTTCAACACAAACACAGATGTTATTGTAGGATACAGCGTGTGGAGAAGTCAACATGCTGCATGTGCTTCAGTAAAAGCCAAAGTCCAGTGTGTGTTGTTGTTGTTCGAGCTGTCATTGCTTGCACATCATTATGGGTAGTGCTTTGATATCACAGTAATATCCATGTGATGTGTACAACTACGCTCAAGTGAAATCATTATACTCATGCAGCTAATATTGGTGGAAAAAGACTGCAGTCATGAGGAACCTTACACTTTTTGGGGCTACAAGTAATGCTTTTCTTCATTATTGATCACTTTTTAAAGTAAATGATTTATCATAATCTTAAATTTAGACTGTAAAAGGTCAAAAGATAGTGAAACTGTCCAACGTGATTGATTCAGATGGCTTGTTTTGTCTGATATACTAAATATTCAGTTTACAATGAATTAAAATGTAGCAAATAGTCACATTTGAAAAGCTGCACCAAGAGATGTAGCGGCCAAAACATCCTAAACATGTTCAGCAACTACAGCTCATGAAGTGAAAATACTCTATATGGCTCTATACTGCACATCGGTTTCCCTATGATGGATATAAATAGGTCGATGTCATCATTACCTAACTCAAGTAATAACACACAATACCTAAGGGTCCTTTTCACTGTCCAGGAGATGAACTGACAGAGTTGCAGGTCATGTGAGTCATCTTACTTAAGTTTAGTCTGTTGTGTAAGAAGATCAGCAAAGTGAGGTTGAGTTTCTCAGTGAACCTGGGTTACGTCTCTGCACCACGCCAGATCTCTGTAAGAAAACATCTGTTTGGTGCCGAATGCGAAATTAGAAACCTCTGCAGAAAACAGGCCACAAATAAGGAGTTAATTTACAGTTCACATTCATTCATTCATTGTTAATATAAGAATATTGAGTATTAAGTTTCAAGTCTCCACAAGTTGATTTTCATAAAAGGTTCAAATTAGCTCAAACATGCAAAGTGGTTCTTTAAAAAATAATTTCAGTAAAAATATTGTTGAGATCCAACATGGCCTCTCGTCTCCTCCCCATCCAGAGGTGACCCGGACAAGTGTGACATCTGGGGAAACACACCGCTCCACCTGGCAGCTGCAAATGGCCACCACAACTGCCTGTCCTTCCTGGTGGCCTTCGGTGCCAATGTGTGGTGTCTGGACAATGACTACCACACACCGCTGGACATGGCCGCCACCAAGGGACACATGGACTGTGTTCGCTACCTGGACTCCATCGCTGCCAAGCAGATCACCCTCAACCCAAAGCTGGTCGGCAAACTCAAGGACAGGGCGTTCCGCGCCGCAGAGCACCGGATCAAAGACTGTGCAAAGCTCCAGAGGAGGCACCGGGAACGTATGGAGAGGAGGTTCATGAAGGAGTCAGCAGCTTTGGACAACTTAGACGCTATCAGCTTTTCCAGCTACACCAGCGGCAGCACACTGAGCCGAAAGTTCAACACTGTCACCTCCAACATGCCATATTCGCAGGTGGTTGTCTTTATGTTAAAGTAGAATAAATAGATCACGTCCACTTCTGGGTTAACAACTGTTCTGTTAGCTCTCAGTTCTCAACATATTAATAAAAATAAATATTATTAGGCTAGCATTGAGTTTTAAAGCAGTATTAACTCTTTTTTGGCCACTTGGGGGCAGCAGAACAACATTGACATACTTTAATCTCATGAAGAATATATATTGATATGAATGTTGCAAATAGTTGCCTATTTACACATCCAGCAGACAAAGAGCAACATTAGCGTTCATTTGGAGTCATGTTATTGGGAAATAATATAATAATAATAATTTAGTGGTTGAAGAATCACCTAGACTCTAACTTTGTTGTTTGGCGCAGGGTTAGCCAAGTAGCATAGAGTGGGTTTAGAAGAGAACGGTGTTGATGAGAGCTGTGGGAATGAACCAAAACAGTGAAGTTGTAGGCTGTAAAACCAAAGTTAGTTAGATATTTTAAATAGCTGCGAAACGAGTTGTTATGACTGCCATCTGCAAGCCTTGGGGACAATTGCGTCGGTCAAAGTACATACACTAAAAGTGCTGGTTTTCCCACTAACAGGCTCAGATTGTTAGTGTCTGACAAAATCCCTACAGAGTATATGTAGTGTTGGAATATGAAGGTTTCAACTTTCTAGGAAAACAAATGAGAGAAACCCTCCGTGAGTAAAGACATTGTCTGGCAAAGGTTAGTGGAACAATGCCCAGCTTGAAAAGAGGTCAAGGCCCTATTTGAGTGGTAACATTTGGTTTATTCATTTGGTGGTCTGAATGGTATTCAGCATTGTTTCTTAACTACTGTCTATACTTTCCTCTCAGGCAACCCTGCATTCCACAGCCAAGGGCAAGGCCAAGATACAGAAGAAGCTGGAGAAGAAGAAGCAAGTTGATGGGACGTTCAAGATCTACGAGGACGGGAGGAAAAGTGTGCGCTCGCTGTCCGGCCTGCAGCTTGGCAATGACGTCATGTTCCTCAAACAGGGCACATACACAAACTCCAAGGAGCGATCGCGCCTCAACATCCGCGATATGTTCCCCCGCGACAATGACGACGACGCGGATACTGTCTCCCGTGCCATGAGCGACCCGGGCCTCCACGAGGCTGCGTATTCGGAGATCAGTGCCGACTCCGGACGGGATTCCCTGTTCACCCGACCCGGACTCGGCACCATGGTGTTTAGGAGGAACTATATGAGTGGAGGTATGTTTGGAATCGGGGGACGGGATGAAGGGAGTGTAGCAGGGAGTGAACCCGTGGGCCGGGCGCCCAATGTTCGCCTACGAGGACATTTGCCTCGACGCTCGCCCAGCTTCGATGAGGACAGTATTGGCAGCGCCTTGAGCTTGCAAGAAAGAAACCTTCAGGAGTTGCCCTGGGAGGAGACGGATGTTGCGTTGGATCAGGACTTGGAGCCAGAGAACAGTCCTCTGGAGACCTTCCTGGCCTCTCAAAGCCTGAGTGAGTTCATGCAGATTTTCAGACGTGAGAAGATCGACCTGCAGGCCCTGCTGCTTTGTTCAGATCAGGACCTCAGCAGCATTCATATCCCTTTGGGCCCCAGGAAGAAACTTCTGGATGCCTGTAGGAGACGTCTGGAGACACTAGATGAACCAGAGGCCATTGAGGATACTGAGCTTTGAACTTCAGAATCTACATTTTGTTTTATATGGGAAGCACCACTCTCCTTTCTGATAATTTTTTGTTGTCACAAATAAGCTACTGTTTGCGTCAGCATGTAGTGTAGATGACCAACATGAGTAGTTGTGAATGGCCTTAATGTTGCTGTTGACCCAGTCATTAGTCAATTAGTTACATGCAGGGTAAAGATAGAAATTTGTTAACAATGGTTTTGTTTTGAAGGAGGAAGTTACCTTAAAAAAAATAACATATAAGCTATCGCTGGAATCGGTCGACACAAACTAGAATATTTGGTGAGAGAGTCTGAGTGCAAATACCAACAAGTCCAAGACAACTGAGACAATAGAAAAAGCATCTTGAGTCCAGACTTTTAGCTTTTCTAGCTACACCAGCTGCAGCACACTGAGCCACAAGTTCAACACCATCACTTCCAACATGCCATAGTTGTAGGCAGGGGTTGTTTCTTCACCCCGACATCTGATTGGCCACCCCATTGTCCTTACCTCTGCCACTCCACACTGTCTTTCAGAGGCTAGAGTGAAGATACTGGTATCATATGAAACAAGATGACCTAAACTCTATGGAGTTTTTATAAACGTGTTATTTTCGCCTAGTTTATTTGAATATTTCTGCATTCTGGGGTCAATAAACAGAGTTGGAATTGGATAAATTGCATTGGTGTGAACCTGCCAGTTCACAACTAGACGGAACAGTATACCTTCTCCATAACAAAAACTCTCTTTTCTTCTGTTCAACAGCCAGCTTTTTTTTTTTTTTTTTGCAGCTGGATATCATTTGTAGCATCCTAAAATATAAACTGAGGATTTTAGATTACTGTCTACAGTTAGGTTTTATTAATGAAACGATGAGAACTCTCAATAAGAAGAGAGGATTGAGAATTAGGAGCCGTTCATGGGTAAATGGGTAAATTTTAAGGCTTGTGTCAAACAAATTGGTTAGGTGATCTTCCTCCGTCCAGAACTCTGTGATCGACTTCACTAGCTGACATCCCAACATATCTGCTCGGAAATGTCAATGTCATCCTTAGCTGTACATAGCAAACTAACTGTTAGCATGTTAAAGCATGTTTGTTTGAGTCAGTCAGTTTTAAATTCGTGGAATTTTTGACTTAATTTACTATATAATGGTAGATAGCTATTAAAATAAAAACATACATGTAGATAGAATACTTTAACTAAATCAACCACCCGTCACTGCAGCTAGCTTAATCTAATGAGGTCCACAGCTTCCAAAATGACCACACTGCTAAATTAACACCAGTCTTAAGGCAGGGGTTTACCTAATAATCTAGCATCTCATTGTAGACTTTAAGCTCCTGCAATTACATTTTGCTCCCATGTAGCTTTTTCCCTTTACGCTGGCTGAACACACCTCCGCTGGAGACCTTCCTAACTTCACTCATACCTTTGTTGCACTTGTGAAGGTGTGACAACTCAACAGTGGATGATTCTTGAAGTATGTGCGACCGGAGCAAAGTCCTAGCATGGCTCCACCCAACTTCAACCTGCACAGAGATCTAATCAGCCAGAATAACTGAAACACCTGTGTGCAGGTGTGCCAGCTGAGCCTTTTACAAGAACCGATGGCTTTTCTACCTGGCTAAATGGCACCACCTAGTGGCCACTTGTGGTATGGAGCTTTGGAGGACTAGAAGGCGTTGATGTTGATCTCATACATTTTATTTGTTATACATAATGTTATTTTTTTCTATTCGTGTACTGGATTATTACACAGTGAATGCATGCATGATGTAGGCTCCATGTACTGTTATTATTCCCCAGTGCAGTCAGTAAAGGTAGCATGGAGTCTAGTCATCACACTGAAAAGAAGTAATAAACATTTTATGCCACATATACAAACACATGTACACACATTCAGTATTGTGTTTGTATGGATTCTCTTCCAGTGAAATTACTGTTACTGTAACACTTCATGCATCGATGAATGATTTACGTATTAGTGAATGTAATCCTTTGAATGTACAGTTTTCTTACTTTATGACATGTTATTTTACCCCATGGCACATACACAATGGTGACTTACTATATATGGGGTTTATATATGGATGAAAATGGCCCCAGACTGACTGTTGCTCTGCAAACACTGTCGCAATAGTAAAAACAATGTGGTGGTACTGTGAGTTTATGTGAGTGTGTGCTAGATAACACTGTTATCTCAGGTTGCTCCGAGGCGTATTTGGTTTCACTGAAGGTCTGTCTGTCTGTGCACTTGAGAGTATTTTAAAAAACAGTTTTTGTATCTGAAGATGTACCCACAACCGTGATTATCTTTTATTAAAATAAAGTGGAAAATATTGGTGCTCTCCCTGTGTGTGTGTGAGTATGTTTTCATATAAGCAACCAGGCGTTTGCTGAGTATGTGCTTTTGCCTCGGCTCACCCTTCGTGTGTCACTTTGGCCTGTCTGCACAAAAAAAGGACGGACACTGACGGCCTCGATTAGTGATTGTGTGAGTAAAAACAACAAGCTCAAGGCCGTGGGAGGATGTAAGTAGAGCTGTCAGACAGCCTGCCGTTCTTATGTTCGTGTCTCTGCAGTACCTGCTGTCCTGCGGAGTAAAAACACACACACACTGCATCTTTTAAAGAGCACACTGCAGTCAGTCAGCATGGCCTCAAGCCCAGAGTGCTGGCCTGACTCCAGAATAAAAGCAGCACTGACATTAGATATGTGCACTCAGATTTATATACTCCCACCTGCGCCAACACATAAACACACCCCAACCATCAGGCCACATTCCTGCACACCAGCATCTTCTCCTTTCCCCTCTGCACTTTCCCCCCAGTGAGGGAACAACTGAACAGCCACTGTTAATCCACTTCTCAGCCCTCCTTTCTCTCCCTCTCCTTTCCCAGGACATTTGCCAAGGTTACAGAGATGGGAGGGGAGAGTGGTGGTGGTGGTGGGGGAGCTGACACAAAGAAACACGAGGGGGGTGAGCGGCATGCAGAATGTATGAGACACCAGAGAGGAGGGAGACTCTGGGCTGAGCAGCTGTAGTTGTGTGAGAGGATTTTTTGGGTCCATCACGTCACAGTGTAGCCTTACATCTTCGGGCTGTGGGACAATAAATTCCACTGCTGCTGGTTGCATCAGGAGTCAGCTGACAGAGGGGGGAAAAAAGGGAGGAAACAGTGTAAGAGAGATCAGGAGGAGGTAGGAGAGGAGGGTCCACGAGGCTCTTGAAGCTGCAGGAAGGGGGCTGGGCCTCTCTGACAATGCTCCTCGCCAAAAAGGACTTTCGCAATGCTTGACCTGTGGACTCTTTGCTCAGGGTGCGAGCGCATAGAGGCAGCGGTGAGGACGCAAACCCCATGGTGACTTTGTTTTGAGCCGGTGATCAGCACAAGGAGGCAGGAGCTGACATGCAGAATGTACCGGAGGAGTGGAGGGAAGGACGGGATGAGAGAGGAGAGGGGAGGATGGGGGAGACGCTGGTCAGGAGGAAAGGGGATTCAGAACCCAGCGGAGAGAGGAAGGAGGGAGAGGAGTGGAAGAAGATCGGAAGCGAGGAGGTGGAGAAGGAGTCGATGATGATGGAGCTGACGCGGCTGGTGCAGAAGGTGGTGAAGGAGAGCAGCTGGTGGGAGAGGAGGGGGATCGACTGCAGCATCCTGGCAGCGGCGTTCCTCTGTCTGCCACCTGGTAAGAGTCTGCACACACGTGGAAACTTCACACAGCGGCTCGGATCCTGGGTTGGTTTCATTTAAAGGTCAAAAAAAGTCACTAAATGTTGTCAGTGAAGAGGGTAAGTTATTACTTATTTATGTTTTTGAGGTATTTCATACATCAGCCTGCCTCAGAACTGGAGATAAAAATAAACCTTTTGGCTGAATCTGACATATTTACATCATATTGATTAGTTACTGTGTGCTGGCCCCAATAAATGGATAAAATGTGGTGAACTTTCTTGGAAGTAGGACTTACATTTTATTTTATCACCGTGAATTATATTTACTATATTGTCTCTACAGTGCAGAATTTATACTGGAGGAAAAGCCCAAGGTGACTTCTTTATTAATTAATTAATTTCTTGTCTTTGGCTGCAACTAACAGTTCTTTTTATTACAATTGAATCACTTATTTGGTCTATTAAATGTCGACAAATTATTAAAAGTGCCAGTCACACACTTCGATAGAACAATGTGAAGTTTTCAAAGTGCTCGTGTTGTCAGATCCAACAGTCCCAATCCCCAAAATATTCAGTTTAATGTCAAAAACAGCAAGGAAAAGTATAAAATATTCCCATTTGAGGAGCTGAAACCAGAGAATTTTTGCTTTAATTAGGAATAAATTAGCAAAACCGAGCTCTCTGTCAGCTCATGGACTAATCACTTGCTGTTTAATATTGTGTATCAAGCCTTACAGATAATGAAATCATAATTATTTCAGCCCGTGTCTCCTCTATTAATTAAGCATCAGGCATGTTTACATTTTTAAAATACACACACAGCTCTTCTGGTCCCACATTGTTGTCGTAGCTGGTTCACACTGGCAGAGTCCCGTGGTCCCCCTCTATCTGGGTCACTGGTGGTCAGCTACTGACCTCAATTAGGACGAGTGTCTATTGTGACTCCCGTCACTCGATCATTGGAGCTGACAGCTTCCAGCAGCACCACAGGACACCTGGCTCCAGCTTCATTTGAAATCCAGACTTGTAGACGTCCCTGCAGTTAAAGCTGCTGCATTCACTCTGTTGTTATGAGTCCTCGTATGAATCCACGAGGGTGTAGTCGCGGAGGGGTGAAGAAGTTCTCACATCTGAACTGAGTTGCGCAGAGCAGCCGAGCAGGCATCTGTCATTGTGTATCAGAGCTTGTGACTTATCACCTCAAAATAGGCTCCTTTGAAATAGGAGGTGCTGTTTATTAGCACCGCTTTATTGGGCTAGGAACATAAACCCAGATGATGGAGAAGCTTCACTGGCTGCAGGGTTATTAAAGGTAAAAAAGCCCAACCTGCTACCACAGTGCAACCACATGAACGCTGCATCCCATTAATTATTGAGTGTGAGCAGAGTGAGGTCAGTTTACCGTTAAACTTCAGGAAGTTAGTATAAATCTTTTAATGTTTGTGGATTGCATGATCAGAGACAATTAAAGAATATCATGAATTTAAATGCAGTAAAAGCTCATTTCTGCATTACCTGCAGGTAAATGTAAACAATAGCGCCGCAGTGATGTAATCATGTAAAGGTGTCAGGCACAAAGCGCCACAGTCACCTCCAGTTGAGGATAAAGTTTCTTTCTTTCACCTGATCTTCCTGCCCGGTTGTAAGGCACACGCTGCCGCAGTGCAACGGCAGGCTGGTGCTCACATGACAGCTGTTTTCAGCCACACGGCGGCGTTGCCGTGGGGATGACAGCGAGGGTCAGATGGCCTGTAAATCCCACTCAAATACCTCAACAACTATTGGATGGATTAGCCTTAAAATAGCCATTTATGGTCCCAAGAATTAATCCCTGTATCTGTGCTGATCTCCTGACTTTTAATGCAGCAACAGTCAAAATCTCCACTTGAGTTTGAGGCTGAATGCTAACTGTTAGCATGTCGTCCTGCACTGTAAATACAGCCTTTAATCAACAGTACACGGAAATATGTTCATGAAATGATTTTTAGGAGAGAAAGCCATCTCATAAACTCCCATAAACTCATTAGGAAACTGATTACTGAGCTAATAAATCAAGTGGGAAATCATTTTTTATAGCAGCTAATGGAGCTCCCCCTGCTGGCCATTACACAGGCTGCAGGTTTAAACTCAGTCCATTATATATACTGTCAATATGAGCAACCCCTTTCACATTATTGTAGAAATATTGATTGTAGCAGCTTTATTTTGCATATTAAAGTAACTATGCTAATGTTATCATCATTATAATGCATACTAGCCCTGATGGGTATGAACACTGTCAGTGATATACCGTCGTGTTGCCGAGGTCGAGGTGTCGGTAGATTCCCTGTGCTCTGTCTGTCTCGCAGCCTTCTTGCTGCTGGGCTCCTCGCAGGTCCTGTGGTTTTCAGCCGGCGTGCTGCTGATGGGCCTCGCTCACGCTGTCATCACCATCAAAGGGACACATCTGGCCAGCCACGGGGCCCTGAGCGAGTCGCCGGCCTGGGCAAAGTTCTGGGCCGTCTTCTTCATCGAGGTGAGGAACAAAAACACCTGAGGGCAAAGCTCATTTTTCACTTCATTACTGTCACATGTAAAAATACTGCTGCCCCTGAGCAAGGACATTAAAGGACCAGTTTGACATTTTTGGATAAATGCTTATTTGCTTTCTTGCCGTGAGTTAGCTGAGAAGATTGATACCATACTCATGTATGTAAGGTAAATTTGAAGCTAGTGCTAGCAGCTAGTTAGCTTAGCATAGCATAGACAGCTCTCCTGGCTCTGTAGGGTAACAAAATCCACCTGTCAGCACCTTTAAAGATCAATAATTAACACGTGATATCTCCTATCTGTGATATATAATCTGTACAAACACTGAAGTCTATAAATGTTATGTTATTGTGCCTATTTACTGGTTTTGCTGGTTGCCTGGCAACCACACAGTGACAACAAGGATCCAGGACGTCACTGCCCCATCTGGGTCAAGAAATATTTGTCTTTTCTATACTTTGTTGTTTTGTGTAAATGTTTAAAGCTATTATATGTAAAATTTCAGCATTAAAAGGCCTCTAAACAGAAGATCTATGTTATATATTTGTTATTATTTACATTTATGTTGTTGTTTGGATGTGAGAAACCCACCTAGCAGCAGAAATGACTTAATTAGTGAGCTTTAGAGGTGCTGGTAGGTGGACTGTGTGCAAATTCGAACAGAGCTGCTAGCTGTCTCCACACTTTATGCTAAGCTAACGGGCTGTAGCTTCATATAGATGAGAGCATCACATCCAGGTGCCTCTTGGGTGAAAGCATTTCTTCTAATGTGACTGGCAGTAAATGTTAAATCTCATGGCTTTGCCAATTTAATATGATAAAATAAGAATATTGTATTTCTTTGTAGCCATTAGGAGCTAAAATCCTGAAGCAAGCAAGGAAACTGCCGATCAATGATTGGCGTTGTTATATAGAAAAAATGCAGAAATAAGTGTTGGTGTGTGTCCTTTAATGTTGAAATACCCTCTGCTCCACACTGTCAAACCAAACTCCATTCAAAAAACAGCTGTTTTAATGTAGGGACATATTTTCTCAAAGTGAAAACTTTATTTACATCATCACTAAGACTCTAAATCTCTTCAACCTACAGAGTAGTTTCATCTATTTATCTTACAGACATGAGAGTGCTATCAATCTTCTCATCTAACTCTCAGGAATAAAGTTTATTTCCTTAAACTCGCTGCTGTTGTATACATCTGCTGTAAGTGTGTGTGAGTGTGAGGCCTCACGCTCAGTCCACCGACGTGTGTGTGAGTGTGAGGCCTCACGCTCAGTCCACCGACGTGTACGACCCTAGAAACAGTAATATTTACAAGAGTGAATGATTATCCCTCCCGGATGAGTTTAACACAGTGAGCGAAGTTATTAAAGCCGTGTTTAATAACCTCAGAGCTAGAACACAGTGAACCTTTGAACCTGTGGATTCGGATGTTTACTGAACATTTAGTGCCTCTTAAAGCAAACAAAATGTTATCCTAACCTTTGACCCCAGCCTATTATTAGCTGCTCATCAAAGCATATGGAGAAAAACAACAAGACTAAGCAAGTAAATACCAATATGGATCATTTTTATTCATTGTTTGTATGCAAAAAAGTAATCTCTAAAAAACAATAATTTAACTAGTTACCTAACAATTGAAATCTATTATCTGGCTACTGTAAAACTTCCAATAAAAGCAGGGTCCCTAACAGATGCAGGTCTCCTTTAAAAGCCTGGTGTGGCTACATGTTTTGACAAGTAAACGCAGGTCTCCAATAGAGGCCTGGTCTGGATTTTATAGAAATTATCTCGATGTATAAAACCTCTTAAAACCCACCAAGTCGTTTCAATCTCCTACACAAATATAAATGTTTAAACTTCTGTCAATATGTTGATAATGAACATCGTTAGATCAGTTATAGATTCTCCACAATTCAATCTTTCACTATATTTTACGAAAACTATCAACAACAAAGTATAATGTTAATTCATAACGTTAACATCAGGTAACACGGTAAACAAGAGAGATGGAAAACAACCTCTGAAGCATCATAATCATCAAGTTAGTTGTCAAATTTGCTGAACAAAACTCAAGAGAAGCAGCAGTTAGAGTTTAGTTTAGTGTTGTGCTAAAGGAATTAAAGGCCTGTCCCAAATAGAGGCCTGTCCCCAATAGTGGCCTGTCCCCAATAGAGGCCTGTCCCAAATAGAGGCCTGTCCCCAATAGAGGCAGGGGGAGTTCAGTGATTTAAGCAAATAAATGCCGAGGCTATTATTAGAAGTTTTACGGTTATCCTGTGTTTTTTTTTCTGTAGTAAAACACAAACTAGCTAGCTACCTCGTTAGGTAGTGTTTTGCTAAAATTATTTAACTAGCTAGCTAATGATTGACGTAGATTAGCTTGCTGGTTAGCTTCTGGTTTGCACTGTAGCAAACGCTAACTGACTATCTAGCTAATGTTTATCTAGCTAGTAATCTAATTATTTCTGTAGTAAAATATATCTAACTTTGTCTTAATAAGATATTACAGCTAATATGGAGATTGATTTATTTCATATTATGCTGTTTGAAGAAATTCTGTTTTACTGTGAAATATTCTTTTCTAATTATTAATCTCTGATTAAGGTACAAATTCTTAAATTCAGCTCAATAAAGTGACCAAAATACTTATTTTAAGAAACTTGAAGAACTGAGTTTTTATTGCTCGTGAGAAGCAGAAGATTTTTGGCTGTTTAGGCCCATTACAGCCTTTGAGTGGCTAGAAAATGTGATTATATTTAAGAATATTTGGCTTGTTTCTAGCAGGGCTGCTTTGTTTGTGTTGCATCAGTTTTGTTGTTTTGGATGTTCATAAACGTGCCCATCTGTCCTTGTGTTCATCCACTCAGATCTGTGGCTCATTCTCAGCGCGAGCCGGCATTCAGGGCCACATTAAGATGCATCACGCTCACACTAATGTCATTGGACTGGGTGACTCCAGCGTATGGAAGGTCCCCTTCCTGCCTCGCACTGTCTACCTGTTTATAGCTCCCCTGGCCGTGCCTATCATCACTCCACTTGTTGCACTCGGTAAGAGGCGCCACAGGACCGAGAAAGGGCTAGACGCTTTATGGGTTTACTCAAATATTTCAACATTAAATGTGACTGTCAGCGTAAAGTTATTACCTTCTGATGCTGTTCAAGTTCCCGTGTTACCTCGCCTCTCTCACTCAGCTGTGAGTTTATTCTCATACATGTGATGGTTTCTGATTCTCTGGTTTTTGCAGCTCACCTGAAAGGACACTCTTTGGCCCACATCGTCAGGACCATCCTGATGGTAACACTGGGCCTGTATTCACAGTACTGGCTGCTGATCCACGTCTCCGGGTTCCTGTCGCCCCTCAGCGCTTTGCTCTGCATGCTTGTGTGCAGAGCGATGTTCTCTGTGCCGTATATCCATGTCAACATTTTCCAGGTGAGAAATACCTGCAGTACGGTACATGTTCTGGAGCCGTGTGAGACGGCACTGAGGTGCTTTGAGCTAAATGTCAGCATGGTAACATGCAGGGGCCGGTTGCAGCATCTGGTCTTTATGAAACCTGGTCTTAAGTGCTAAGTTGGTCTTTGTTATTATAGATAACAGTAATAAAATGTGTGTCTTTAAATGTGGCGAACAAAGTTTTCTTTATACACGTTTTGTTGAGCAAGATAATCTTCACAAGTAACTCCACGTTTATGGTTTTTGAAGTGTCAGAAGTTAAAAGCTAACGTTAACGGCTATAAACAAACTAAACCACGGTTGCAAGACTCCAACGTCACCACCACTAAACCTCCAACTTGTGTTTAAATCTTGTAATCAAAATCTATGAGCTGGAAAGTTTGAGTTCGAACAGTTTGCGGTAGATAAGACAACTTCTGCAGTCGCAGTCAGCCACTTGTTAGCAACCGTCTTTTTTCGGACACACAAGAGGAGTATTAACTATTATTATAATTATTATTATAGTATTTTATGTTATAGAACAAAACATAAAAACCTCTTAAGGCATCTAACTACAAACCCATTCAAAAAACCCCACTGACTTTGAGGAGAGGTGCATAAATGCTAACTAATTTCTGGGTTTTAGAGCTCCTGCTGCTACATGTAGAGAACAATCTCACATATCATCCATTGAATAGATTTTCTGGAGCTTGCAGTCGTATCAGTGGCGTAGCAGTGGCCAACTTGAACCAACACCGCCAAGAACTCCTTGAAAATTTGATCCACATTTCCCTGACAGCTGGGTAAAATCCTTCGCTAATTAAGATAATGTGATATGACAGAAAGCTCCAGAACAGCTACTAAATGGGCTCCAACATGCTAAAATCAGACAAATATCAGTCATATGTGTTCACCTCTCACAGACTCGGCAAAGACTGCAGTGCCATTTCAGGCCTAAAGATTATGAGAGCACCTCTTGTTGAATGCAGCTTTGTGTTCTCACAGATCAGACCAGTCGGGGAACTAAAGGGATAAAAAGGAACAATTCATGCATGACTTTCCCAGTTGGAGTCTCGCAGGTCATTGTGCATTGTTCTGATCAAAGTGTGTGAAGGTGGATTAGAAAACACAGGTTCTTGATGTGAAGTCGGAGGTCTAACGGGGCAAAAATGTTTGTTCTCTCTGGGGGGTCGGACTGAAAACCTGTTCTCTCTCCCGTCTCCTGGTGCTGTTGTTGGACATTGACCTGTATTTATTCCCCCTGAACTCAGCGTTCCCATGTACTTCTAACCGGGGGTGACCTTTGGTTTGGTTGACTCTGGTGTCTCAGAAACATTGTGTACTAAAAACTCTCCTCATTTGGGGACGTTTTCTTGTTGTTGTGGTCCATCGATGTCAAACAAATAATACAATTTGAGGAATTGAAATCCAGTTTGGCAGAAGTGGCTCCTGATGAACATTTTTTCTTGCGTTTTATTTAATTTTTTGTCATGTTTTTCTGCAACCACATTTTATTTTTGTAATATTTTGGCTCTCTCACTTCACGGTGCTGTATAGATATGATTATAATATGGCTCTGCTGTTCATTAAAACGATCATTAAGCCGGTGTTTAACTATCATTTCAGTGGATTTTGGGCTAATACATTTTCCTAATGAAAGGTACAATGTGTACTTTCTGGCCACATGCTCCAATAAAATAGGGGGCAGCATTTCACCTCCTCCCACCCTCGATGCCAAGACAGGTTCAACATTGTTCACGAATAATAAACCTGGCAATGTCCTCAAAAATGTAAAAAACTTTCCAACAGTACATTGCAATATAACCTCTGGGTGGTTTATGTGCTGTTACTTACTGCGACCTTATGAACCTAAAATAATCACATTTTGCTGTGATTTTTTTGCAATAAACAAGTCAAAAGGATGCCGAAATAACGACATCATCATGGCAATTTGTAAAAAGTCTGAATTCCTACTTTGTCCAGTTTGTCCACAAGATGACAAACAAACATGTTTTAAAATGTTTGTTTTCTGAATGGACTTTGGTTTGATCCGGGCTGTGCTAACTTAGTTCACAGTGAAGTAAAAACAAGACCTTGGATTAAATAACACAGTGACCTTCTCACCGGGATGATATGATACATGTGACTGCCTGTAGACATTTAACCAAACACGTCTAATACTGTGTACTGTGTGTATTCGGCAGCACATCGGCCTCCACATGTTCTCTCAGACCCGCCGACCAAAGAGGATCTACCAGATGACCCACGGAGTCCTGAACCTCCCTCGCAACTTCCTGCTGGACTGGATGTTTGGACACTCGCTTATCAACTGCCACGTGGAGCACCACCTCTTTCCCTTCCTGTCTGATAACATGTGTTTAAAGGTACCAAACAGCCCCAAATCATTATTATGTTATCACTTTCCACATGTAGCGTTTGACCTGGGATTGTTCTTCACTGCAGTGGATTGTTGTGCAACAGAGATGCTTTGTGGCACGGTTGATAAGCTAAGGTTGACCCTGTGTCTCTCCAGGTGAAGCCCGTCGTGTCCAAGTATCTGACTGAAAAGCAGCTCCCGTACCAGCAGGACAGCTACCTCTCCCGCCTCCGCCTTTTCTTCCACAAATACCAGGAGCTGATGGTGTTTGCTCCGCCGATCACAGAGCTGGTGGGAGTGCAGTGAAGGAGAAAAACCCATTCAGACTAATGCTGCTAAAAAAGCACAAGCTTCAGTGTTTAAATGCATTTCTGCCGACTTGTTACAACCTGCACAGTCCAGGTTTAAAGAGTCTCTAATATATAGGATAGGTTTTTAATCAATAACACACGATGTTAGGAGCTAAATTAACATGAAATCTTCATGATATTGTTTTTTATTACTTAAACTAGATGTATATCATGCACTGTTAGAGGTAATTTAATAAATAGCACAACTACATTTTAATGGGGTTTAATGGGCGCTGCATTAAAAGTCTAAAGTGGTAGATTAATCACAGCTTTTGAACTGACCTGAGGCCTGTTTCATGTCTCTGTGAAGTGCCTGCTGGTCCTGGTTAACTGGTTCTACAAAGATGGATGCCAGCCACCTCCATTAACTCTGGAAATTGTTGATACTCACATGCAGCTGTAGAAAATAACACTTCATTAAGGTAAAAGTTAGAAACTAAGCACAGTAGAGAGTATAAATATAGCAATAAAAATAGAAAAATAAGCAACCAAACTAACCAAATGTGTTTAAATCTTACAGGATTTAATATACGTTTTCGTACATCAGGCTACCTATAATTTATTTGCATTTTTCAGAATAAAATGAGTTAAAATCAAATCAGTCAAAATATTGTACAAAAAACTCATTTTCACCATGAATAGAAACTATTTAAAGCTGCAGTAGGTATCTTTTACAAATAATATTTTTTGTCACATTTGTTGAAACTTTTACTATACCCTGACAATAGAACATGAGACAGATAATGTGTGAAAAAATCTGGTTCCTCTGGCTCCTCCTAGTGGCTCCTAATGGGATTTTCTTGTAAATCCCAAAATGACCCACTGCAGCTTTAGTAGTAGTATTTCAGACGTTTCTTTTTAGATTATGCTTCTGTTCTTTATGCTAAGCTAGGCTAATCACCTCCAGCTGGCTCCAGCACCGTACTGCGTTTACCAGTACAGACAGACAGGAGTTGATCTCCTCATCTAACTCAGCAGAACAGTGACAGACTGCAGACAGTGGAAACGTGTCTTAAACTGCAGCTGTAATGAAGTCATTGATCCAGCTTTGTGAGACAGCCCCCCTCCCCGTTGCCGTAGTGACAGATGTTGGTGCCGTTGTTGTCGATGCAAATGTTTGACTTTTCTTTGTCCTCATGTCAAAGGCACATCCGTGACTGCACTGTAGTTTCGGTCCACGCAGTAGAGGTGTTTCAGTGTATTTTATGTGGTCTGATAATAAACGTTAACATGAATTTTCAAGAATTAAACTTTGTTTTGTTGCTTTTATTGACAGTTTAATGTTCAGTATCCAATCATCTGCGCTGCCTTTATTAAATAGTCTATTTATACACATTAAAATAAACCATCCATAACTTCTCTGAACTCTAGAAACCAGTTGTTCCCAAACCATTGTCTATCTTTTAGAAAAAGTTTAAAGGGTTTCTAGGTTGTTTTCTCTTTGGTTGTTATAACTGCATACTTTTTTAAGGCAGGATGATGAGATATCGACCTATTGTGTTTAAGTTTTCTTACTCCTTTTAAAATCAAGAAGGCCTTGTGACCCCCTGTGAAGCTTTGGCGACCCCTAGTGGGGAATCTGCCCTAAAACATTTGTGACTTTTTATGCATGATCAGGGGTGAAAATAACAAGAATAAATCCAACACTAATTTCTCTGTTCATACTTGTTTTGTTCGGCACTTGTCTATGTCTTACTCACTTACAGCGGCAGACTTCCCTTCCTCTTTTTCTGTGGAAGCTTTTTCTGGTTAACTTTATGTATGAATTATTTTAATTAAAGATTTAAAACATATAAACCTTTGAATCCTTTTAAAATCTCTGCAGAATAAACTCAGAGAGAAAATGTAAGAAGGATTTTAAGTTTTTTATCTTGTAAACAAAAGAACATGTCCCTGATTGGCTGCACACACATGATTAATCACAGAGCCACATGAGAGCTGCTCAATATGATCCTCTTACACTTCACTGTGAGTCTTATTCTGTTGATCTGTTAGCTCTTCTTTCCCTCACAGTAATTATCTGACAACCACAGGCTGTGGTCACTTGGTGGCAGCATTTGCCCTCAGTCTTTCTGTCTTTGTTGTTTTTTTGTTGCTCTGTGATCTTGCTGATTCACTCCGTATTTTTGCCTTTCACTGGATTTTTCTATTTGCACTTTGGATCAGCAGAAATGCCCACTTGGCAAAAGCCTGACACAAAGATCTCCTCAGATTCATTGAGATAGTTCAATCACGCTGTACCAGGTACAACAGAGCCACAGTGCAGTTAATGAGTGAGTGAATGTCTGCAAACAATCAAACTTGTAAGATTTAGTTCATGTTCAAACAAAGTGCATGTGGGAGACTGCAACTCTACACCTCTGTGCTCCTCGTTTGCAGCGCGGGCCCCGCCCTGTGGTTTCTTTCTCCTTCAGGGAAGGGGAGGGCAGTGATTATGCGTGGGGGTGTATCACTGTTTGCTGGCCCGCCTTGTTGCATGTGAGTGCTGAAGGGGTGGATAACATTTTAGAATGAAACTATGAGCCTTCACTGACATCCTAGGTGTGGCTTTCTCTCTTCAGGCTGATCCAGGAACTAACCGGCTAACAAAAAGTGGCTGAGCCAGTTATTTTCAGAGAGCATAAGAGAGTGGAAGCGAGGCCAGGCTGACACAGAGGGACTGACTGAAGAAATGGCAAACACAGCAGCTGAAGAAGCAGCTCCCGTCTCCAAGCAGCAGCAGCAGCAGCAGCTCTGTGGGGTCTGCTCAGGTGAGCTGAGCGGAGGCAAACCGGCACCCTGTGGCCACCCTGTTTGTGGCTCCTGCCTCGGGGACAAAAGTAAAGGATGTCCCGAGTGTCTGCAGAGCCCTGACAAGCCCGAAAATGCTGACGGCTCCAAACAGAATGCGACAGAAGCTGAAACTCCTGTGATCAAAGAGGAGCAAAGTCAGGACTCAAAGACGGCAGAGGAGGTCAAAATCCAAGAGGACCTGAAGGAGTCTGAGGAGAAGAAAGAGGCAGAACCCCAGGCAAACGGAGAGCTGAAAAATGGAGCCGAAGAGGAGGTCAAAGAAGAGGAGGAACCTTTGGGCCCCGATGATGTGGTGTGTGACTCGTGTATCGAGAGCCCCTGCAGGGCCCTCAAGTCCTGCCTCACCTGCCTGGTGTCGTACTGCGAGGCCCACCTCCGGCCTCACCTGGAGAACCCAAAGTTTCAGAACCACCGGCTGGTGGAGCCGCTCAGGGACATTGAGAGACGGACCTGCGAGAGCCACAAGTGGCCCCTGGAGCTTTTCTGTCGCGCAGACGACTGCTGCATCTGTCAGGACTGTGTGACGGAGGACCACAGGGGCCACAACACCCTCCCTGTGGTTGAGGCCCGCAGGCAAATAGAGGCAAGTGATACTTTTATTATACTCTGAATTCATTAAAACTGCATTTTATTATATGTAAATATATTAAAATCAGCTTTTGGTTGACTGAACTATTCCTCTGAAACTATTCTGATGAGCAGTTAATCATTCATCGAGGGGTTTCTAACCTTTTTGTCTTGTGACACCTCATCACGGGTTACAGCTCAGTGTGAATAAACCAGAGACATTGTTTTCTTTTCACATTTTTCCTCTTTAAAGGAATTTTATAGGCCTGGAGAGATAAAAGTATGCAGCATTTCACAATAAAAAAACACTTATTTCTGGGTTCCTGGCTGGGAAATTCTAACTTATCTATGCTCTAATTGATTTATCAGTTACTCAACATAAGACCACAACATTCTCAGATTACACTGAGCTCACACACTCCTGTGTGTTTTCTTGTTTAATTATCACCAGTTTGATCAGACAACGGGGACTGAATTCTTATTGAACATTAAAAGAACAAAATTGGATATCATAAGTGCCATTCAGTGGCATTTATTTATTTATTTACAGTTTAAATCTCCAAAACAATTGTATACACATTGCTACTTTCACATATTACACACATGTATGTATATATACTATACTATACCAGCATACGGATCTTCTAAATGCATCACAGTTGTTCTCACATGTCCACAATGCTGATTGCTTTAAATCCAATAAGGACAGTAGATCCTCACTTAATATCCGCTGTAAAGCCGCACAATCACGGACTCGCTTTGTGTGATCAACTGTTTGTCAGCCTGGAAACTCAACACTCGGATCCATTTAGCCTCTCTGACGCAGAAAAAGCTCAAGCTTCAGCCAAAGTGTCATTTGTCTCTCTTTCTGGCAGTTAGTGACCCTCAGGTTCAAGTATTCAGGTCCACATTCCTGCAGAGATCTGTAGCTTTCAGCCTACACCTGTTATTTGTGCAGTCATAGTCATTACAGCGGCAAAGCAAACACAGCAGGCCGGCCCGTAGTGTCAATAAAGCTAAAAAGTAGGTACAAATGCCACAAATGCCACTCGCTCACTTTAAGTTCGACTTCCGTTTGGACACACACAGGACAGACACAGGAAGAAAAACATGGAACTTCCTGGTCCGAGCTCTTGTTCCACATTCACTTACTAGAAATCCTCCTTTTGGAGAACTCATTACGTAACTTCCCACCTATGTTTAGCCTAATCTTACTGCTGCTTCGGTTTCACCCCAGTAATGCCTCTCATGTATTTGCATTAGTCACACAGATAAGCGTCTGGTTGTCTTTCAGAGGAAACAGATACCCGGCAAGGTTTTGACACCTCAGAAGGTCACTTGTCAACACGTACCTCTGTGAAGGTATTTCCAGAGAAAGGTTGATCGGATTGATCAGAAACACTGAATAAATGAACAGTAAATACTATTAATGATATGTACAAAGCTAACTGTGAAAAGGGGCTAAAATAAGGATGAACGGCGCTGTAAGGTGATCGGCTAACGTTACTGTAGAGCTGACAGGAAGTAATCAGACGTACAGTTCGTAAAATAGATATTCGTATAAGTCGATTTTTATAAAATTTGACATATTTACTCTTGATTATACTTTTATTCATAAAAAGCACATTATCTGAACCAGATACTCATTCCAGCCGAGTACTTGAAGCCTTCCTGTATCCCTCTCTAAATGAAATTCTTCAGACAAAACATTTTAGCTGCAGGGTATATGTATTTATATATATGTTTGGTTGGTTTTTATGCTTTACGAGATGCCCCTGTCTCTCGGCCTAGAACCACGTAAATGTACTGTCCCCCTCAGGGTTTAAACTTTATGAAAAAGGAATTCTCCTCGAGTAGCGGCTCCCAGGGTCGCCTGAACCTGCCCGAGGAATTCATGCTTGGATCTGAAAAGAAGCCGATTCTTTGAAAACCACATCAGAGTGTAGAATAAGATGTGTGACCCCCCCCCACCACCACCATAGACTGCCAGGAAACTTGTTTTCCTGAAGAAACAGTTGATAAATGTTTACCTCGACTTTCCATCTGTTAGTGATCTGACATTCTTTCTGCCTGACAGTGCGGTTTCTGTGCGGAGACATGCTGAAGTCTGTTCTTGCGTTCACAGAAGGAGCTCAGGGAGAAGCAGACCGAGATGGTGAAGACGGTGACGGCAGCAGAGAACGCCATCAACAAACTTCAACTCAACACAGTCTCTATTGAGGTAAACACAACGCGTGACTACCATGAAATGAGCTCACTGTGTTTGTGTGTGTCAGTAGTGTGTCACAATACTTCAGTTGGCCGAAGCTATTTATGGATCAAGAACCCTAACTACTGGAGGAGCCACCCAAACCGGACAGGTTTCCCTAAAGGTGTGTGAGGGAATCCGTGTTTTTGTTGTAGAGTGGTGGTGAGTTAACAAGTAGTCAAGGAGCTTAGAGTTATGTCATCACGTTACTCCATACATTCCTCAGCTGCTATATCAGAGCCTCAGAGATGGCTACTACCATCTATTACTAATGAACTTCAACCAATCAGATCAATGAACTGTATGTAGAAGAGTGAAAACATATTTTTCTTTCAGTTCAGATATAACTGACGCTAGCAGCACTCTGCACCTCTTCCACTCCAAACCGACTTTCAGAGGCTGATGCTCCGTTTTAAGGCTTAAAGAGTGAAGATCATATGGTTGCATGGGGAACTAGACGACCCAACGCATCCTAAATGTTGGCGATGGAAAAACTAGTCGCCCATTTTGAAGGATATTGATTTATTCATTTAGTAATAATATTAATATTTAAATTAGGAATGAATGGAAAGCTGAGACACATACTTCATGCCACCAGTCAGTGCCCCTCTTGTGCCACAGCAATCTTAAAAGGTCTGGACACGCCCCTGGCTAGCAACATCTATGTTAACCCCTTTAGCAGCCGCCATTTTTGTTGGAAGAACAGGGTCTTTTTGCCCCCTTGTAGCCGCCTCTTCCTCAGACGACTCTGATCGGTCCGGTGTTGTTTAATAGGCATAAACACATCGATTGAAGCCTCGCAGGATGGATCTTTGTGTGATTCTGTGACGGTTAATTCTTCACATCCTCCCTCAGAATGTAAAAGATTCATATATATGAGTCACATGAGATACGATCTGAAAACTAAAAGCACAGACTTCCACAGAATTCGGTGACGGAGGTGCGGGCGGTGATCGAGAGCCAGTTCGAGGAGCTGCAGGCGGTGGTGGAGAGGGCGAAGCGGGAGGTGACGGAGATCCTGGAGGGCGAGGAGAAGCAGGCGCTGAGGCAGGCCGACGGCATCCGGGTCCACCTGGAGCAGAGGTGCACCGAGCTGAAGAAGACGCAGGCGCAGGTGGAGAAGCTGTCGAAGAACAAGAATGATGTGGATTTCTTACAGGTAACGCCGGCAGGATCCAGGGTTGTTTGTCTGGGGCAAAGTCAGACTGCAAGAATCATCATGTTCTGAATGTGTTTGTCCTGCAGGAGTATTCAGAGTGGAAGAAAGAAGCCACTGATAGCTCTCTGCCCGGGGTCTACATCGGCCTGATGGACTGTCTGAGTTCCTTCAGCCGCGTGATCGTCGACTCCACGCAGGAGCTGTGCGCCATGCTCGTGTCCTCGTACATAGAGAAAGTTAAAGAGACTTGCAAGAATGGTAAGAAAAAAGCAAACGATACACACAAGTGAAGCTCTGCTCTGGCACAAAGTCACAGATGCACAGATAGTCTGCTCGGGCGTGTTCACACATGTAAAGAATTTCCAGCCTGTGTGTGTCACAGCTGATGAGCTCAGGTATGCAGCGGAGGCTAATGAGAGCGCTAACATTTACAAACCACCTGTGTGCTTCATGAGTCACCATGAGTGTGTGTGTGTGTGTGTGTGTGTGTGTCACGCAGAAGCCGACAGACGACAAATACTCGTTTCGGTCGTGCCAGGTGAAGACAAAGTTTATTAGAATAAATGATTTACTTTCTTCCAATTGCAGACAAAATGGGAATAAAGACGACGGTTCATGAAATTGTTGCAGCAAAACGGAACATGTCTATTCCAAATCCAGTGACGCATGACGACTTCATCAAGTGTAAGTGAACATTTAAGATCTGCTTTATCATGTGGATGAATATCTGGACTCAATTTTGTTGTTTTTGTTGCCGTAACTTCTAAAACCCTCAGAAAACCGAGGCAGTTATGGTTTTTACGTATTTGGGCCTCAAATAATTATTTTATTGAAACCATATGAGTAGTTTATAGCACTGGTTCCCAACCTTTTCCTTCAGGAACCCCTTTTCTATCATTCATTAAACTGACTCAGTGACATATTTTATGGATATTTATGGATATTATATTAAAAACTGAACAATGAACCCAAACAGTGAACTCAGTAACTGCAGGAAGTTTGAGTAAAACCAGAGATTTGGATGAATTATGAGCAGATTATTTCCTCTTTAGGGAACTTTTTCTACAATTCTTTACTATTTTACTATCTAAAATAATGACTTTGTCAATATTTTGAGAAGATTTCTCATTACAACGACTTCCAGAATGTTTTTCTCCCATCACATTGGCAGAAATGAGCTTCCATAGGTGTCAGATTGATATAGAGGAATAAAATGTATAAAAACAACAACAGTGGTGACCTCAGTGGTATTTGTATTGACTCTTATATAACTCTTACAACATGAGCTAACTAACGTTTTCACAATCCTCTCCCAGATGCCGCCCACGTGAGTTTCGACGCCGACACCGCTCACAAGTTCCTGCGGCTGACGGAGGAAAACAGGAAGGTGACTAACACCACACCCTGGCAGCATCCGTATCCAGACGTACCTGAGCGCTTCGAGAACTGGCGCCAGGTTCTGGCGACGGAGAGCTTCTATCTGGGGCGGCACTACTTCGAGGCGGACATCAGCGGCGAGGGAACGCACGTGGGTCTGACCTACAAGAGCATCGACCGCAAGGGCAGCGAGAGCAACAGCTGCATCACGGGAAACAACTTCTCCTGGTGCCTCCAGTGGAACGGCCGCACCTTCTCCGCCTGGCACAGCGACGTGGAGACCCCTCTGAACGTGGAGAAGTTCACCCGTATCGGGGTCTACGTGGACTACACCAGAGGCCTCCTGGCTTTCTACGGCGTGGATGAGGCCATGACGCTCATCCACGAGTACAAGGCGGATTTCCTGGAGCCCCTTTACCCGGCGTTCTGGTTGTCGAAGAAGGAGAACATCGTCGCCTTGGTGGCGCCAGGGGAGCCGTTACGCCTCAAGAGCCCCTCGCCGCCAACCTCACCTGCAAGCGGGGCGGTTGTGTCAAAACCGGCAGCGTAGCGACGATTAAAGATAGTCGGTGTTTTCATGGATCTTTCTTGGACTACTGACATGTTCTTCCAACAATAGACTTATTATCTGAAACTTTAGGAGCAAATATGGAAATTCCTGATATTCAATGTGTTTACAGCAGCATGTGTTTCATAAAAGTAATCAGATCAATTGTGAATGTTTATCTCGTATGTTTGGGCTCAAGTCATATTTATGCTCCGGTACGGTGTACAGTCGGGACTGCTGTTACTCTTCATCATAATGTGAATTCAGAGGTGTTTTATATTTTCTGTGTGCAAATAAAACATTTATTTCCTCCTTTGCAAAACAAATGTCTGTTTTTTGCTCAGTTTTCACTTTTGTGGGAACATTTGGACTTTTGTTATTCTGAAAATTGTCTTTTGTATAAAAGGGACCATCAATAAGTCATCACTGAAATGTCACTATTGATAGAATAAATGTTGTAGTCACAGGCCCTGAAGTGGCAGAAGTCAAGTATCGCACATAAGAATGTGCTGTGTAAACAAATTCACATGGAAACTAGAATGTATCCCTCTCATGGATTTTCTTCATACTTTAAAATAATGCTAAAATCGGGTGCAGATGTTTTCCCACTATGTTTTATTTAGAAAAATCTAAATCTGTCCATCCAGTAGAAGGCAGACAGCAAAGGTTACTAAATTTGGTGTGACTGGTCTAAAGAAACATAAACTTACGTATATCTTCAGGTTGTCTCAGAATATTACCACTTGATTCTCAAAATTTTACATTGTTTGTGTGACTTTGTGACATCTAGTGGTCGAGTTGCAACCCTCACTACAGTACTACGTCAATAAACCTAAAATAACTTAAAATATCAGTATTATAGAATCCAACAATATCAATAAATCAGTTTTTAAAGTCAATTAATTTAATAATACAATGATACAAATAATTAAAGTAGAAACAAGTAAGTAAAGGATAACATATAAAATATATATTAATATATAATAAAAAGAAAGAAACAAATAAATAAATAAAAGATTAACATAAAACATGCCAGGGGTCAAAATAAATAAATAAACTTAAGTGAAAACATTAAATAGAGAGCGCAGTCTCACAAATAACTAAATGTAAAAATAAAATGATTTAAAAATAAATGATTTTAAATTAAATTATTTATGTATTTATAATCATAAGCATATTTTATCCTTCATAAACAAACAAACAAACAAACAAACATTATTTAACCACTAAAATAAAAATGGATCCACCGCAACGACGTCACAACCTACGTGGCACGTTCTGACGTTGACGTTTTGGTCACCTGACCACCGCGGACCGTGACGTGTGCTCCGACTGAGCATGTAACCAGGAAGAGCCTGCTCAACTTTCAACATGCTAGGAGACGTAAGTGGCACATTTTAACTTTTATTTTAACTTTTATTTTAACGTGTATCTGATCTGAAGCGTAGAAAACGTCACTCAGCGAATCCAGACTCATTTAATTTGTCTAAAAACGGATTGAAACTGAATTTATCAACTCAAAACAGCTTCTGAACGTCCGGCGGGCTAATGCTGCTAACAGCTAGCGCGGCTACACAAACAAACCTTCTCTTCACTTTAACGTCTTCAAACCCCACAACAACTGTCCGATAAACAACAACAACAACAACTGTCCGATAAACAACAACAACAACAACTGTCCGATAAACAACAACAACAACAACAGCAGCAGCAGCAGCAGCAGTGTTTGGAGAGCTCCTCGGTGTACCGGTTGGTCAGCAGCTCAAACAGACACACAAAGTCGGATCAGTTGAACCACAACGGCCCGCTGAACTACCAGAGCTCTCCCTGCTGCAGGGGGGGGAGGGAGGAGGAGTGAGGAGGGGGGGGGGGAGGAGTGAGGAGGGGGGGGAGGGAGGAGGAGGAGGAGGAGGGAGGGGGAGGAGGAGGAGGAGGGAGGAGGAGGAGGAGGGAGAGGAGGAGGAGGAGGGAGGGAGAGGAGGAGGGAGGAGGAGGGAGGAGGAGGAGGGAGGGAGGAGGAGGAGGAGGAGGAGGGAGGAGGGAGGGAGAGGAGGGAGGGAGGACGAAGAGGAGGAGGAGGGAGAGGAGGGAGGGAGAGGAGGAGGGAGGGAGGGAGGAGGAGGAGGGAGAGGAGAGGGAGGGGGGAGGAGGAGGAGGGAGGAGGAGGAGGAGAGGAGGAGGAGGGAGGAGGAGGAGGAGGAGGGAGGAGGAGGAGGGAGGAGGGAGAGGAGGAGGAGGAAGAGGAGGAGGAGGAGGGAGGGAGAGGAGGAGGAGGGAGAGGAGGGAGGGAGGAGGAGGAGGAGGAAGAGGAGGAGGAGGAGGGAGGGAGAGGAGGAGGAGGGAGAGGAGGGAGGGAGGAGGAGGAGGAGGAGGGAGGGAGGAGGAGGAGGAAGAGGAGGAGGAGGAGGAGGAGGAGGAAGAGGAGGAGGAGGAGGAGGGGGAGGGAGGGGAGGAGGAGGAGGAGGGAGAGGAGGAGGAGGAGGAGGGAGGGAGGGGAGGAGGAGGGAGGAGGAGGAGGGAGGGAGAGGAGGAGGGAGGAGGAGGAGGAGGAGGGAGGAAGAGGAGGGAGAGGGAGAGGAGGGAGGGGGGAGAGGGAGAGGGAGGGAGGGGAGGAGGAGGAGGGGGGGGAGGGAGGGAGGAGGAGGAGGAGGGAGAGGAGGAGGGAGGAGGAGGAGGAGGAAGAGGAGGAGGAGGAGGGAGAGGAGGAGGAGGAAGAGGAGGGAGAGGAGGAGGAGGGAGGGAGAGGAGGAGGAGGAGGAGGGAGGAGGAGGAGGGAGAGGAGGGAGAGGAGGAGTGAGGAGGAGGAGGAGGAGGGAGGGAGGGGAGGAGGAGGAGGAGGGAGAGGAGGAGGAGGAGGAGGGAGGGAGGGGAGGAGGAGGAGGGTGGAGGAGGAGGGAGGAAGAGGAGGAGGAGGGAGGGAGAGGAGGAGGGAGGAGGAGGAGGAGGAGGAGGAAGAGGAGGGAGAGGAGGAGGAGGGAGGGAGGAGGAGGAGGGGGGAGGGAGGGAGGAGGAGGGAGGAGGAGGAGGAAGAGGAGGAGGGAGAGGAGGAGGGAGAGGAGGAGGAGGAGGAGGAGGGAGGGAGGAGGAGGAGGGAGGGGAGGGAGAGGAGGAGGAGGAAGGAGGAGGAAGAGGAGCTGACGGGGGTCTGCTGTAAACTGAGCTGTAATGTATTGATAAGATAGACCTCGTTGATCCCTCACTGGGGGGAGGAGAAGGAGGAGGGAGGGAAGGAGGAGGAGGAGGAGGAGGAGGGAGAAGGAGGAGGAGGAGCTGTTGTTCTGCAGATGTGAGAGAACAGGTTGTTCTCCTATCAGCTGTTTGATCCCATTATGTGTCAGAGGAATCGACACTGTGTACCTGCTGGTCTACGTGAACTCGCTGAGGGTGGAGGATCGGTGACTGGCTCATGAGTCCTAGTGTAAACGGAGACCAGGCTTGGGTTGAGATAGTGTTGTGTGCCGAGGCTCCGGGGGTTTACTCTCTTCCTTATTGATCCCTCAGGATACCAACGATGAAGACGTGTCTCTGTTTGATGCGGAGGAAGACGCGGGGCAAAGGTCAAAGAAGTCCAATATTAAGTAAGTGAACAGCTGCAACACAACTATTGGGATCATTCCTTCAGTTTTTAAGACGTTTTTTTTAAATAAAACTGATAATCTGATACTTTTCTGAGTCGTATATGATTGTAAACTGTCAACAGTTGGTGCTGGACTTTGTTTTAACAACTATTATCACATTATTATGGATATTTTCACAAGTTGCAGACATTTATTTCCTAACTTTAGACATTACGAGATAATGACTGTTCATTATTCCCTCATGTATCTGAAACAACGTCTGTCTCCAGGCATCCAGTGGCCTCCTTCTTCCACCTCTTCTTCAGAGTTACGGCCATCCTCGTGTACCTGCTCTGTGAGCTGGTCAGCCGGAGCTTCATCGCCTGCATGGTGACGATCATCCTGCTGCTCTCCTGTGACTTCTGGGCGGTAAAGGTGTGACGAGTTCGCTCAAACAGCAGGAATGTTTCTGTGCTGGTGTTTAATTAAAGGCCCCTAAAATACAGCGTGTCTTTCCAGAACATCACCGGGAGGTTGATGGTCGGTCTCCGCTGGTGGAACCAGGTGGACGACGACGGACGCAGCCACTGGGTGTTTGAGGCGAGGAAGGTGAGGAAGCTTAACCTCAGCTTTATTTAAACAGCAGCTTTTACAGACAGAATAAACTGAAACTACACAAACAGTTTTAAAGTTTTTGTTAATTTCCTTTTAAAAAAGTTTTGAAAGCAAGTAAAAGAACTTTAGGAAGGCAGACAGTTCAGGGTCTTCAGCAGAGGAGTGATCCATTTTCCTACTTCTAGTTTTTAGGTAATCCAGTAAAAAGAGAACAGCAATAATCTAAACGACTGCTAATAAAAGTGCGAGAGAGTATTTCAGCATCTTTCTGGGTTTAAAAAAGGTTCTGAGTTTGGTGATGAGATGAAAAAAAGGTTGTTTTTAAAACGAGAATTTGAATCTAAATCCGTTGTTTCCTCGTTTACTTTAAAGAGTTCTTTCCCATCCATACATTGATGTCAGTGGAAGCACGATGCTGACCTCGGAGGTCACTCGTGGACTGTCAGCAGGCCGTACAGTAACTGCAGCTGTCCTAACTGTGAGAATATCCTGTTTTTCTTCTTCAGGGCACTGCGAAGCAACAAGCGTTGAATTCTGAGTCTCGAATCTTCTGGCTCGGGCTGATTGTTTGTCCCATCCTCTGGGTCATCTTCGCGTTCAGCACCCTGTTTTCCTTCAAGATTAAATGGGTGGTAAGTGCTGAGCTTTCAGGGATCAAACTGAAACTGCACCAACCCCTCACTGTGAATGCCTCATATATTTATATAAACCTCCTCCTTAAAAGGGATTAGACAGTTTCTCCAGAGGATTAAAGTGTGTTAAATACCATATTGAAGAAGGACTTTTAGATATTTTGGGAACAGAATACTGCGACGAACAACACGCGGAGCATAAACGCCTCCGTGCACGCTCATAAACAAGTCCATACATCTTAATAACAGGGTCATATATGTATCGTTTCTTCTTTATAAAAGTTCAGAAATTCATCAAACGCAACTGAACCAGGAGGATGGAGATTAGAGCTTTTGTTGGGGACTATTTTCAGCTGTGGAATAATCCACATTTGGTGTTCTTATGAGTATTTGGGGCAGCAGGACGCTGTATTTGGGTCAAAATAAACTACAGTGTGTGTCACCCAGTGCAACAGTGGGCCTGTTTACAGCTGGTATTAACATGTGTCCACGTGTGTGTCAGTGTCTCGTTAGTGTTTACAGTGGTGGTCAAACACTATTACACTGTATTTAGAGCTGAGATCAGATCTCCCAGGGTTCAGAAACAGGCTCACTGATGTGTTTTTTTAATAGTTTTTAGACGATGATGGAGCTCTGTCACACAATGTTTGTCAGGATCAGTTCATTGTTGTCTTTTCATGGGATTGATACAATAAATACATTAACACTGTCCTCCTGTCGTCCTCACAGCCGGTGGTGATCATGGGTCTGGTGCTGCAGGGGGCCAACCTCTACGGTTACGTGCGGTGTAAAGTCGGAGGCAAGACCAGCTTAAAGAACATGGCTACGAATTATTTTGGCCGACAGTTCCTCAAACAGGTGAGGAGTCGGACTGTGAGTGAATCTGAACCGAGCGGTCCCGTCGTCGGTCGTCTCACTAACTCTCCCGTGTGTGTGTGTTTCCTCGCAGGCGCTGTCTAAAGAAGAGGAATCGTAGAGTGCAGCTCTGCGATGATTTTAACGTCTGCATTATTCTTAATGCTGTTATTCTTTTAGCAAGCGGATATGTAGAAAGAAATCTTTTTTGCAACATGAACTGACGATAACAGTTTTTGATTTGTTTCCTTATTAACGTAACGTGTGAGTGTCGGTCCCAGTAGAGACAGAGTGTTTGGTTTTCCACTCAGAGCTCCGGTAGCTGTTCTTCAAGCCCAGCAATAAACAGACTGTGTACTGGAGAGAAAATGC